GGTGCATGTCCCAAAACAGCAGCTGATGCCGAAGATTGAAACCGTTTCACAAACCACTGAAAGAGGCATTTTGACAGAAGAATATCATCTGACTTTTTCTGCATTTTTAGCTAACCCCGACAGTTTTTGGATTCCACACCGTGTAATACTGTCACAGTATTGTCTGAAGTGCTTATACTACTATTTCTGATTCCCTGCTTATTTTGCAGCTAACCATCAAATGGTGAACTAATATCCGCATCCATTGGACGCGCTCTGTGGCTTTTAACCTTGCCTTGGGATAACCAGGTGATAATATTTGGGTGACCCTCTTAAACGAGAAGGATAGCCTTTAAACGGAGATTCAGCACTTATGAACAGCAAAAACTTGTGACAAATCTCGCCAAAGTGTGTTATAGTAGCAGCAAGCTGAGACTTGTAAAATCTTCAGTCTGATCGGTTGCAGACGACAATCCTCATATATAAGATAGTTTGATAATAAACAGGACGGATGACAAATCTATGATAGCTTTCGATGTATTGTTACAGAGAATTTTGACAGTCTAGTAGACTGAACCTGAGAATCAGTTAATGAGTCTTAAAATATGCTGCAATTTAGCTGTTGTTCTGAATGTCGTACATAAACGTAGGTTGCTGTCTTACAAGTTTATAAAACATAGGACGACTATCTGGAGAAAGCGGTATTGAAAAGCAACACAATCAAGACCGTTGAACAGAAAATATCAACAAACGAAGCAAGCCATACATGATTCACGCTGCGAGAATCACATGAAGCGGGAAATTATGGGATAAGGTTTAACATTATACCACAGTGTTACTGGGTGGAGGATGGCATTGAATGTCTCAGCTTCTTTCTCGTTCGATTATTATTTTTTCGCAGTAGGTGGACACGGCATGTCTTTTCATGTTTAGACTGCGTAAAATTCTGCTGATTCGAAACTGCATCATGATTGCAACAGAGATGTAACCGGCTGTTTCAGTGTCACTCTTTCTTATGCTATCATTTGTTTGTGTAATTGTAATTTGCTATTATAACTGGTTGTACCTTATAGGATTTAAATTTTTAATTTGAATAATTAATTTTTACACTGAACCTTTTATACATTAAGGTGTGGAAGCAGGGAAAGGTTTGGGAAGGTTTCGTCAAGTGCTGTCAGAGAACAAAACCACAAAGCTTTCCTGTTCTTCTTCAGCTGCCAGCGCCACAATTGCAGCAAGTATTTGTAGTGTGTCCAGAACTTCGTGAACCGCTCTTAAATCACGTAACCTCGTTGTCAGCTCATCAGGTAATGCTGTGGTGTCTTGATTTTAGCATTATTTGTTGTACATCACCTGCAGGATATTTTCTATATTTTGACAAAAATTATGAACATAATATCTGGTGCACGGACAACTGACCATTAATTTAATATGAGGTTTCAGCATGTATGTTTATTGAACTAAAAACTCCCCGTTAATACCGCGAGCATTTATATCACCGGAGCCAACACCAGTACACTGTTACGTATTCACTTACCGTTCAAATTTGCTAAAATGGAGCCTTGGCTTGCATAAATGGTCCTATAGACCTAAAAATAATGGGGATAGGGGGTGCGACGTTTCGTATGTACAGTGTATTGACTTTTGAGACATCAAACTCGTTGATACAGAATTGGTGTAAATCAGTTCCGGGGAAGGGTGGGGGAATTAAGAACGTAGTTTAAACAATTTAACTCGCATTTTAAGCGTTTGTTGTAAAGAGGCAGTAAAAAATAAGTACAATGGTATGAATCAAGTAAGTGACTCCACCAGTAGTCCGTTATGTTCTGAGTGAAAGCTCTTAACTATGAGACAAAATCTTTCATTTTTCACTCGTTTATTTCCTCTCTCGATGTTTTAATTTCTCAGCATGTTATTTCATTTTTTTGGATCCAGAAAATAAATACAATAAAGCCATTATTTCATAAGTTTGAGCTTTCAAGAATGGAGATAAGTTATGGCTCAGTTAATTATCATAATATTACTAAAATAAAATAATTCTGATCGACAGAAGATCTTTCGATATAACTGGTAGAGACACGAAAAAGATGCCTAGACAAAAGTCTGTTCTTTATCTCCAAATTGAGGGACCTTATGATTAGAAGACTTATCATTTCAAACATTTGCGCTGAATGAGTATGAAATTTAAAACATAATAATTGAAACATTTTATTTGTTAATTTCTACAGCCATGTTTTTAGCAAGCGCACATTCAGCAGAGTGTGATGAAAGTTTTGCAGATGGAGCGCGGTAAGTTTAACGAACATTGAATCACCGTATCATCGATATCAGTTGGTTTTCATTTCTTTCAGACGTGTCTTCCAGGGAACCGATGATTGAAGAACACATCCCGGTCAATATTATGCAGTGAGGAAGTTGTCGACGTAGAGTCTATGTCGGCAATTCGTTCAGACTTTGTTACATTCTTCTCTTCAGTCCCGCTTGAAGACTAAATGCAACGAACGCACCAGAGGACCGGAGACCAGAGGATTTCTGATATATGAACCTGTCAGAGTCAGTTCTTTGCGGCTGAACTTGTCCTACTACGAATACTTGTATATTGGGAATGTTCATGTTCAATTTGTAGTAAATCATGTGAAATGTGTATAAATCTTCACATTTCGGCCATTGATATTCACAGGTCTTGGACAAATTACGGAAGGGTCTTTTGAAATTTTTGAATTATATTACATCCTCAGATTTATCTTATTTTTGTCCCTTTTAAGCTAAACGGGTTTTCAGTATACGGGAATTATGGCAAAGTATATCGAAAAATTAGGAGCTGAAAAATATTCATTATCGGAAAAATACGGTTCTTCCTTAGATGTGAGAACGTTAATACGGAAGGGAAATTTTGCTAAACAAAAAACAGAATTGAGAGAGTTCCAAGAAGTTACAACTACGTTATTTAATTGCAGAATCAGTCAAACCATGAATAATTTCTGACGTTAAACTAAACTTCAGCATGAGCAGGTGTACGGCGACAGACAGGACAACTTCGGAAAATTTCAGGTGCAAATAATTTCACTTCTAAAAATTGGCTTCACCTCAAAAACACTCCAGACATGCACACGTCAACAGAACAGCTAACCAGAGACAGGTGAACTTTTGGTGATGGGGGACACAGCAAGGAAAACAAAAATTAATCACCGCTAGTTATGTCGTCCTCTTTTCACGCCTCCAGCATAGAGCTTCCGGTCATTTCTGGCGGTATGGGCAGACCCATCGCTTGGAGTACCGTCGGGGCGACGTCACACAACGCAGGGGCACGATCTGACAGCGTCTTTTTCAACTTCTGCTTTCCGGTGCTGATCAGAGGAACTACAAAGAACATAACTGGTGAACTGAGCACTGAGGAAAGAAGGTGATGATTTAGCGCTACCTGGATTGCAAGTGTGTGCTGTATGTTTCCCTCCGACAGGGTCATACATTTTTTCTGCGTTTCCATGGTCGGCAGTTACCATCAGAATATAACCATTTTCATTGCAAGCCTTCTCGACGATGCCAATCGCGTTGTCTAGATAATTTTGTTTTTGCACATAAAAATTTATATATATTGAGCGTAAAATTTTATGTAAATTTCAAGTAAGGCATTGTTTATGTTTTACCTGACTTATCTAAGGAATAACAGAAGTTAATTTCATGCATTGGGCCATATCCAGTTAGCGAGTCTACTGAATTCATTTCAGGTTTGTTTTGTACATCATACAGTGCTTGCTACGTACGCACATAGGGAAAACGTGTGGTTGATTATCCTAAGCAACTGGCATTATTCTTCCGTATGATCCGGTTTTTAAGGAGCTGATTCGATGATCACATAAGCTGAAACATTGGAAAAGCCGTCTAAAACTGTTGTCAAAAACAAATAGTGGGCTCTGAGTATGGAAATGAATCTTTACGCTACTCTTTATGGAATTTGATTTTACCATGTTCACAATCGCACATCCTGCATCGATCTTTCTGACGCAGTTACGCAATCCGTGCAATAAAAAATTCTACCATTCATTCATATCTGCGGTGTTATTAAATGAAACTCGCACGGAGACCTAACAACCTGGACGACTCTCAGGGCTCTTTTCTGTCGTTTCTATTGTTCTCCATTCTGTTAACAAATGCCGCGTTCATGAGTTCAACTACTGCATAAAACCTGCTGATGACACCACGACCATCTGCTCCGTGAGAAGCGTTCATACGTGATGGAATGCACAAGAAACCTTGAAAATTTGCCGAGGTGGGCCAATTCCAGCCAACTTGTTCTCAACAGACAGAAATGCAAGGAATATATATTCTTGCTTTTACGCGATACCTCGAACATGATCATTGGTCTCGAGTAGGAACTGGTAAAATGGGTACCCAGTGTCGTTTGCTTGGGCTAAGTAAATTGACGCAGAGTGACCAAATAACGCGGATCGCAGGAAAGTTGTGGAAAGCATCGTATTATACGACACGCATTCGATGTCTTCATGTTCCGGACAAGATCGCGCCGGTTGTGCGAAGCTGCATCATTGCAACGACGACCTACGCTGGTTTCCTATACTATGGAGCTCTGAATGTCACAGATTTTACCATTTAACGCCGTTGCATCAAATCACTAGCACATGAAAGTGGAATCACTTTCTAGGATATCGTGTCACTGCTAGTTGAGACTGTAATTGTAGCGACTTTCAAGTACGATACGGTTCAACAAGGTTCCGAGCAACGACGAACATTCACTGCACAAATATATGGCACAAATAATAAAGGATGTTCTCTACATGATGGGATTCGTTTGAACTTCAGTTATATACCGGCGAGACAGAACTGTTATTCTTCATATGCTTAATTCTTAAGTGGATTCGAATGTTTGAATTCAGTCTTAGAGAGAATCTCTATCTTTAAAACTGCAACTGTCATCGCACAACGAAAATTATTTATCTATTTTTAATCAATACTGTGTATTCAGTGAGGTAGTGCCTCTGAAAAGCAGTTGCTCCTGTAGCTTTAATAACGTCATAAATTTGAACTTGAAACTAAATTTTCAAGAGATTATGGAAGTTCATGAAAACGATCCGGCACCACTTAGTATTGAACGTAGGTTTTTAAGTAGGTTAGCAAAGAGTTTATAAGTTTTAAGTACTGTTTACTAACCAGTTGCCTCACAAGCCTGCACGGCCGCATCAAAAATTCCGGTGTGTCCTACCATATCTGGAGGAGCGAAGTTGCACATGACGAACGGGTACTTCTTCAGACCGATCGTCTCTTTCATTTTATCAGCTACAAGTGCGCTACTCATCGGCGGCTGCAAATCATACGTTGGTACTTTCGGCGAAGGTACCATGAAACGATCCTCATTCGCGAAAGCTGCCTCGCGGCCACCGTTAAAGAAGAATGTCACGTGAGCGTACTTTTCGGTTTCTAGTAGAACATTTCATGTTGCACAAAAAGGCTATATCACAGGAGAGAACATACCCGCACAATGAAACTGTGAAAATCCATTGGATGATAGCCATTCGGCCAGCACATTCTTATGTGACTCAGGCGGAAACAGCAGCGGAAACGTGAACTCCTTTTTGTACTGAGTCATGCAACAAATGTACTGAAAAAACAGTAGCTAGTAGTTTTTTTTACGATTGTCATAATCAAAGAAAGTCATCTAATCAATTGTCAATGTAAAGAGCAAATTGAGAAAATGTACCAAATTTTTAGGGTGGTGAACTTCGGTCTCGAAATTGCGCTGGATGCCGAACGTTTCCACGATCTGCCTCATGCGATCAGCGCGGAAGTCAAAGAACGTGATCACATCGTCGTCTAGAAACTCTTGCTACGACAACTGCGCAAAAACGGTCGTTTGACTATACTAACCCTTGATACGTCCCTCTTCGCTAACGATGATGGGTTTCAAGAATTCGTCCGTTTCGTCTTTCGTGTACCTGGCCTTGATCACCTATTAAAAAAAATCATTCGACAAATGAAATCTAGTCCACCAGATAATCGATGCCGCAATACATCGGTCAGCTTGTCGACGGTGGTTTTCTCGCCGACTCCGGCAACCAAGCCCTCGTAAGCGATCTTGTTGCGTTCCCATCGCTTGTCTCGGTCCATGGCGTAATATCGGCCAATGACGGATGCCAGCGTACCATAAGAGTTCTGTTTCAGAAACTGCAAGACGTCGTTCACGAAACCAACTAAAAGCATATTTCATATTAAAACTGAATGATCTGATCCTCGTCGATGAAGAGAATGGTGAAACCAAAATGTGTTCACGTCACTTAATTGTAAATGTTCATCTGAAACAGAGGCATGGTTTATTAATGAGGTAGCCATGGCACATGCTGACAATCCGTATTAATCCCTGACGAAAGTAGTACGGAATCCTGCTCTCGAAATATTGCTGATGATTCAGGAGGGAGAGAAGATAACTGTAACAATCTAATGATTAAAAAAATCATTAGTGGCAACTGGTCCAAGGCCCAAAATAATATTTTGCGTTAATCCACATATTTAGGTCTTTTGACAGTTTAGTACCAATTTATGAATATGACTCCCGCGTAACATTTTCCACTAAGTACACAGAAAACAAGGGGAAATGAAATGACTAACGGTCGGCAACAACTCACCGCCACTAGTCGGACTGGTGTCCCTGCCGTCTGAAAGAAAGTGAATGTAGCAGTGCGGGACCTTCAGCTGTTTCGCGGCCTTTATCAGTCCGTAGAGATGCTTGATGTGTGAATGTACGCCTCCATCACTGACCTGAAAATCAATTTTGCATATAGAACAATCGAGCATATGAAAAACAAGATGGTTTCGACCGTTTACAAAAGTTTTCATAAATACATGAGACATACAAATGTTGCAGAAACTGTAGAACTCTCCCCTCCTCGCCCTCATCACGCGATCTAAGAAGTCGAGACACGGTATTAGCAATATATAAGTAAAAGATATCCTTAAATCGATAGTTTGTTTAACCAATACGTTTAAAATATGGTCAGAGTTGACATGTAAAACCGATTTGATGTAAGTCTGATTCGTTTTTATCAACCACTGAGAAAAGAACGGCGACAGAGTAATGATGCTGATTTTCAAGTATTAGCTGTCAAATTCGGATTTATGGAATAAACGTTTAAGAAGAGCATGCATTTATCGAAGAAGATACTGGCATGAAATCTACTCATTGCCACCCTCTCAAGAGACGACGCTACTAGCTCGACGTCGAGGCACAAGTGTTGCATGCCTCTA